TTTGCCTAAATGTGCCCAACTTGTGTTGATGGGAGTGAGTTGTTCTCAGAGTTGTTTTCAGAGGGGGTAAGGGGAGAGGGTTTGTCCCCTCTCAGCAGTCTGTCAGGCAGGGTGGGGATGTGTTTTCCCCTTTTCCACCCCATTGTTTCAAGTTCTGTGGACTTTAGTTGGGGATGGGACCCTGCTCTACTTATGCCTCTGGCTGCTAGGTCAGGACTGTAGCTCTGGTTTGGCATTCAGCTTTGGTTGGTGAGTGGGACACCTGACCCCTGAGCCTTTGGTAACCTTATTTTTTATAGTAACTACTCTTTATAATTTTTTTCCACATTTTATTTTATAAGAAGTTTAGGAATATTTTTGCATGGATCACTGTAAAGTTTACCTGTTCCTAACGTCTATTAACATAGTGTTTTTACTGATAAGTACTTTAAATTGCTTCATGAGCACTTAATGTGTGTGTGTGCACACATGCACAGCAGCCATCTACCCAGGGCACACAGTTTGTCCATTTCTTAAACTCTGTGTTGGTAATTCCATCTGTATAGTGGATAGTTTGTAATTTTGATAGGTTCTAAGGGTCCCAGGGGCTGAACTGACCAAGTAACAGAGAAGTCAGTTTCCCCAGTTTAGTGTAATAGATAGGAGAAAATATTATTTTAGTGTATGCTTTAAAAAAGCCCCAAACAACAAAATGGGAAAACACACATACACACACAGGACTACCTGTAAAAGGTGGAGTCGTTTGAATTCAGGAAGAAGCTATAAGAACACTTATAGGCTGTTTCTTCAGGCTTGCTTGAGACTTGGCACACACAGGGTGAGTTTTCATGAGCACTGAATGTGAAATGGTGTTTTCAAGAGAGAAGAGTGAGTTGCATTTCCGTCCATTTACATTAGCTTTGTAAACACTTTTTTTCTATAATTTTTCAAAAATCTTTTTTTCTTTTTGTCAGGTTGAGTTGGGAGACTTTATCAAATGCTTTCATGTTATGGAACACTTTCAACTTTGATAGCATCAGGACATCAGCTATCAAATATGGTGAAAGGTAGATCTTGTCAAGCCTTTAAGAATCTGGACATATGAATCGTAAGACTATCATAGGTTGTAATTTTAGTATTTTAAATTCTTTCCAGTAAATTAAGGAATAGAAGTCCTGTGATAAAGTTGCATAATTTAATATCCTAAGCACAATAGTGGAACATTTAGAGAAATTTTGTTTTTTTTGTATGTGTATGACATGCCTAATTTGAGAGTCTTTCAGCTGAATTATAGCTCTTTTAGAAGTTGAAGCAGGCAAGCAAAGGACCTAATTCCTTTAAACATGGATGTCATCATGGATATTTAAAATTCTTTTTTGTTTTACAGCCTCTCCCCTAAGGTTTAGGAGGTCCATTCCTTCGCTTATGGAAATCTTGCTTGGATCTGGGTCGGATGACTGAATGTTTAGCTATGAGTGAGCAATGATCCCATCAGCTTGCTGCCAAGGGAGGCCAACTTCACGGCCAGGGTCATTTGTAGTAACAGGCATGGGGCCACTTCCAGAACCTTTTCTGTCTCTTGTGTTAAATCTTTTGCGAACATTCTTGTTGGTTTTGTTATTAGGCCTACCAGCTGCTACTCTGTGAATATTTCTTAAATGCAGTGCAAAAAGAAGGTTGAGAGAGGTCCTGGGGCTTGGGCTGGGCTCCTGGTTATTAAGCATCTTGCTCTTCTCAGCTGGGCAGACAGCACCTGACTCTCTGGTGGCATCATCACTTCAATAATGAGAGGAAATATATTCTTAAGGCACTTTGGATATGCTAATATATGGCATTGTTGATCCCACATGAGTGTCTGTGAATGTGCCTGCCAGTGGGGTAAAAGGACAGCACACACCAGCACCAGCCACATCAATATCGGGGTCTACTTTAAAAAGGAAATCCAGATTTTTCCTGTCTTTTGTAAAACTTTGGAAACAGTATTACTCTGAACAGATAGGCCATCCTTTTCTCCATCTGGTAGCTCACAGGTGGATGCTCCAGTCATCACCAACCTGGGCATTGCACAGACAGCACAGGACGCTTGTCTGACACCCTCCACCGGGCACAAGAGCAGGTTTAAGGGTGCATGGCTTGAGGTGGAAGGCAACTTCTGGTTCTTCTCTGGTGCTTTCTGAGTGGGTTGGTGGGGGGGCGGGTCTGTAAAGTGGAGTGTGGCTGGCTTAGGGGAAGGACAGACTG